GTGGACACACAGGTAGGAAGCTAGCTATTACACTGGGGACTTCCTAAGTGCCAGGATGCAGAGAGGTCTGCTGGGGGAGAGACATCATCAGGTTGTCAGACTTTCCAACCTAACACTTCCTTCAGTTTCTACAGAAGGAACTAGCCCTTTCCCCCAGCCCCAGGCCTGCATGGTAAACATCTGTGTGCTATTCCTTAATAGAACTTAAATTAATCCCCGAGTGCAGCTCCACATCACTCTCACCCTCTGTCCTATGACATCAACATGTCCACAACCTAAGGTGTGCAAAGCATTTCAGCATCTTAGCACATATGCTTAAGCTGTGACTTCCTCCATGCTTCACCGAAAACCAAACCTCAGCCTGTTTTTCATCTTTTATAAAAATTATGAAATTTCCACCTCTGATGGCTCCTTATTTTTTGGGTTTTATTTTATTTTTAGGGTTATCTTTTTTATTCACTTACTATCACTTTGATAGGATATTTATTAGAAGGGAGATAAGATAAACAATTGTAGTCTTCCTGCCATCTTGTCTAGGTATTCACTCTTGTCAAAAAACCAGGCTGCATCCCTAGGCATAACCTAATAAATTTAGCAGGCCCATCAACATACACTGGATATTGCCCAACACTATCAAAACTCTCCCTTCAACTGGACTGAGATGAGATTATTCTAGCATTTTTAAATTATCTATATGTTTTTCTCTCATATTAGTAAGTGAGAAAATTGAATAGAACAAGAAACCTTATTTGATTTTATGTAGTGGGTTGTCGGAAAAGTCATGGCGCATTTTTGCAACGAAAAACAGAAAAAAGATGTCATGACTTTTCCGACAACCCAATATATACATCAAATAGCCTCGTGTATGCCAAATACCAACACAGTATTACATACTATTACTGAAACCATTTATAGAGATTCTTACTGGGAACTTTGGCAAGGCAAAAACCAAATAAATACAATTTTCTATATTCACACAATAACCATTATGTTCTATCATGTCAGTTCAACTTCTATGATATGGGCCAACTTATAAAACACGTTATAAGAGCTCATTTAAGACTCAAATACATATTTTGTGGATTGTCCACAGGCAGGTTTATTAGGTCCAAATGTATGGTACATTCAGTGACAGATCCCACCTACTACTCAAATGACATACTTAAAAAAGGCAACAGTAGTTTCAACATAAGTATATGCTTACTATAAAGGATAAATCAAACTCATTCTTAAAGAACTACATAATTCATCCTCATGCTAAATAAAAGCAATTATCCATAGCACCGTTTTTCTAAGTGAACCAGTCGCCTACCCACAGAAACAAAAATGCAAATTATGAAAAGCATTGCTTCTCCCCATCCTTTAAGAAAAGTTTAAAAATCTAAAATAGTGAATTTTCAAGTTATTAACAAAACAAAACAAGCAAAAATGTGCAGGTTATCAAAGGAATATTGACATGCAGTCTTTGGTCTCATGTAAATAAGTGTAACTGCATTACGATATCACAATTAATTTAAGCCTGCAAGGCAGTACCCATTAAAGCTCTGAGACCTAGGAATTAATAAATTCAAAATATTCAATTTTATCTACATCCCATTGTTTTCACCCTTCACAGAATATAACAATAAGAATTTGGTATTGTGTGTCTTACAGTCAAAAGGGCAAAAGACATAACATATATTAAATATCTACCACGTGTGAGACACTGACAATCTTTACACACAGTCTCATTTAACTGCCACAGCATTCTACAAAATTATTAACACTATCCTCATTTTCCGAATGGAGAAATTCAGCTAAGGGGTGTCCAGTGACATCCAAGATGGTCAAGCCAGGCCTACAACCTAAGTGTTTTGATTATTAGTCTGGAACTGTTCCCACAAGACACCTGCTTCTGGAAGTTTCAGAAATCTTCTCATCAGCACTTCACAAACTACATTCCATGAAACTCTAAGAGTCACTAAGATGTTAAAAAATGTTGTGAGAAACAGGGGCTCTGGGGCTCAAAAGTTTGGGACAAGTTACATGAGAATTTCCCAGGACTTTAATAGGCACATGGTGACTCTCCAAGGCAGCGGTAACATGGGAAGTGTTCTAATTCATTAAACCATGATGCCCTTTTTAAAAGAAAACCTAGTAACATCTCACAAAATACTTGTGCTCAACTAAGCACAGTTTGGAAAATGATCATCTACTCCAATCTCTTCTTTCCATGGTTTAATAAAATTAGATACAGAGGGGTTAAATGACTCACTTAAGGCCACAAAGTTACCGACAGGGCCAGGCCTGGCACCAAGGAGGCCTGATGATGCCACCAGGATGCCCTTGTTCCTGTATCATCTTGTCTTCTCACCTCTACACTGTTGCTACAAAGTTCAACACCAATTAACAGGTGAAAAAAAACCTTCTACATCAATTATTTATTCTGATTCTTCGGAATGGCAGTAGAGAGAAACCATTTACAGAGATGAAGCTCAAAAATGGCCTATCTCCCACTGCACTCGTATTTCAGATATAATTGGGATATATTTGGAAATGCTGAACAACACTGTTCAGCCAAGTAGGGCTATACTCCTGTTTTTCTTAGAAGTGAGATAGAATTGCACCCTAGTACTACACGCAGACTCTGCCAGACTTAAAAATACCCAACATGTGACCATTTTTATAACGAGCGATGTATTCATTGTTTTCCCCATAGTCCCTTACCCGAAAGGGGCTGGCTTCCTTTTACTTTGCCCTACCCCTTCCAGCAAGCAGTAAACAGTCCTGGCCCAAGGATGCCATCTGGCGTTTAGTTCAGGAATTGTTTAACCCAACATACCTTCCAATTACTATCGCACCACCTGGCCCCTCTTCAAAACCACACTCTCTTCAATTCTTGCCCATTTACCTCAGTAAAACCTTTTTTTTCTTCTTGTCTGCTGTTTATCCCAAATGAGTGGGGAAAAAATATTTTATCTGTGGCATTCTACTTACAGAAAAATCATGAACCTGAAAATATACTTGTAGCTAAACAAATAAGCCACCGTGAGGCCAATCAATAGACAATACAGCCTCAGAAGTGCCCTAAGAGAGACCCTACCTCAATAGGGATTGTTGAGTATCTATTATTCATCCGATGCCTCCAAAGAATATCAGGGCAGAGAAGGACCTTGAAGATCAATGCCAGGCCAACTGCTTCATTTCACAGCTGAAGAAACAGGCCCCGTGAGAAAGACGTGAAGCCATGACCTGCCCAGCACCACAGTGAGAGTTCCTGGCAGAGCCAGGATTAAGGCCTAGGACTCGCCATTCCAAGGCCAGGGCCTGTCAGCCATGCCATATGCTCCGGGCTCCTCAAGGCTGCTTTTCTCTCAACCAACATTCAAGCAAAGTAGTTTTCAGTGGTTTTATATTTTCCTTAACGAATTTTGTTGATATTATGAATCTCTTGAGAGCAGGGCCCATAGTTAAATCTCCTCACTGCCACCCATGCCTAACAGTGCCAGGCCGACTTCATAAATATTTATTGACTATTTTTTGTCTATCATTAATTACTGTTCTTATTGCAAATCTAGAGTACCTTCACCATATCTTGCATTGGACCAGCTTTTATCTGCTTAAAAACCTAACTGCCATCTTACAACCCTTTTACATTTTACAACAGTTTCTATGAAAAACTGTTACCAATAATCACCAGATTGTAGCCTTTTGGAACACAATCCATTCAGAAAAGTGGGACTTCTTTTAAAGGGCTCCTGTCCACCTGGTCAGTCTTGACCAAGTAAGTATGAAAAATAGGTAGTAGCATGGAGGGAAAAAGCAACCCATTTTGAAGAAAATGGCAATTTTAGAACCAGTTGCATTATAATCACAAGACTTTAGGCAAGCTCAATTTTCTCTCCCATAAAATACTCCTCGACCCTAAGCTTAGGTCGGATACGTGTAAACATTTTATAAATTACAGATATCAATAGTGATTACATGTTATTATTAAAAGTAATTTATATTCTAGGCTCTGTATCTAATCACTTTACATACAGTGTCGTGTAATTCTTAACAGCCTTATTTTACAGATAATCAAAACCAAAGCTTGGGAAGTTAAGAAACTTGTCGAGGCCAAAGCTAAGACTTGACGAATCCAGGATTCGAGCTTAGATCTAAAAGCCTCCAGAATTGGTGCTCCTAACAGGATGGCGGTAACGCAAGGCCGACTTTACAGAAAAAAAGGAACTACTCCCCTCGGGGTTCTGAAGTCATTGCAGCATGAAGGTAACTCAACCAACCTCGCAATTTTCTGTTTATAGCTAACTCCACAGTGAAATATCTGGGTGCAGAGAATAACGCAGACCTGGGTCTTTTCCGGTCTTGGTGGGCCAGGTCTTACTTAGCGTCCTGGAAATCCTTCGCCCTACAGCGTGCTCAATTTGGGGAGATTGGGAGGGGGGGGGAACCCTGGAGTCAGTGTGGCTCTTGACCGTGGATCGCATTCAAGACGTAAACTTATGAGTGTAAATTCATGACCCCGGGAGAAGACCCTTCATCACAGTCCTCTCGACAAAGAAGCACCGCTGGACTAGACATCTCCAAGGCTCTGCCTGCTTCATGGACGGCGGGAAGCTCGCACGAGGAGGAGCTTGGCTGCGCGCACCGCGAGGGCGGGCTGGAGGGCGGGCTCTGCGCCTTCGCTTTCCTTACTCAGTGACGCGACCCCAGAGCAGCGGCCGGGGATCGGCTAACGACTGCGGGGCCGCAGCCGGGTGACCGCGCGGCTCTGCGAGGGCGACGTGGCGCCCCCTGCCGCCCTGCGTCTGCGCTCCGCCTCTGGGGACTCAGGCCGATGCTCCCCCCGCCGGCAGCGACCGGGGCTCGGCGCCGCCCCCGCGTGCGGGAGGACGGCCTGGACCGCGCGGCCCCGGCGGCGGGCCCGAAGCGGGTGGGAGGGAGGCCGCGCGGGCGGCCCAGGTCCCGCCCGAGCCTCCGCGGGCGCGCTGCGCGGCGGGGCCCTGCGAGCTACTTACTGAAGAAGAGGCGGTACCCCGGCGAGTGGCGCTGGCCGCGCTCCTCCGTGCGGTACATGGCCATGGCACGCCGCGGCCAGGCCCCGGCGCTCACTCCACCAGGAAGGCGGGCGGCGACCACGGAGCCCGCGCGTCGGCCCCAGCCTGTACGCAGCAGCGGCAGCAGCGCGCGCATGGCGTCCACGGCTGTGCGGCTCCGCGCGGAGTGCTGCCCAGCCCGGCCCGCCCGCGCACCGGCGCCCCCTACCGCCCGGAGTCGTCACTCCCAGCCCGGGACTTGGGTCTAGATCCCCGCCCAGGAGACTGAGGACCGGAATCAGAGCGCTCAGCGAATAGCCACGCATACACCCAGTACCCGCAGCGGGGCCAAGGTTCAAAGATGAGCAGGACGAGGCCCACCGCCCCCTGAGGAGCTCACTACCACTTATTAATGAGTACATGCATTTATTCCTGGACTCAACCAGTCAGTATTTACTATCATAATATTTTTATTAGAGTGACATAGTATTGAGGGATTATTCTGTGCCTGGCGCTTCTCTAGAACCCGCCCCATGTAGGTGACAAGCATGCACGCGCAAAAAAGCATTATGCGACATAATGATTAGGCCTCCTTTTGAGAACGTGACTTTGACACCGACTTATAGAACAAAAAAAAAAACCAGTAAGGTCCATCTCCTCCACGATGTCCTTTCCTATTTAACCCAAGTAAAGGTGATTTGTCCTTCCATGTCCTTACAACGGCACTTAGTGCTGTACCTATGTTTGTGAACCTGTCATAGTCCCTATTTCACCTTAACTAGCCCACTGGATTGTTAACATCCCAAGCATTTAAGACTCAAGATTTAGTATCCCTGCAAGATGTAGCACTATGCCTGGCATATAATAATGGCCCCTGTGCTGTTGAGTTAAACTGCTCCTGGAACTCTGTCTCTACCAAATCTTTCTCATTAGCGTATGAAATTCTGGTTCTCGACTTTGCAGGAAAACTTGTGGAAATAATTGTCCGTAGTCACTGTCTCCGCTTCTTCATATCTTCCCTCATCTCAGAGCAAATGCCTCCTCCACCTTTTCAGAGTCAACAGTGACTTCCTTGTTGTCAAAACAAGGTTAATTGTTTGAAGGTCAACTCTCAATAAATTGGAGTGAAAGAATCCTGAAAAGAGCATTACATAAGGTTTTTTAAATTAGAAATTAATGCTTTTAAAGCAAATTAAATGTTTCAGTTATTCATCTGTAAAAGTAAAAGCAAGAAGAGTAGCAATTCTACAGAAAGACCAAAAAAAGCAACTCTACAGAAAGACCATTTTTATGGTTTTTGTAAACCTAAGTGAGATGGTTGTAATTAAGAGAAGGCATTTTTAAAATAATAATCTCTTAAAATGCCTAATAAAAATAAAATGTTAAGCACAATGAATACATAAATTCATGAAAAATATTATTCATACTTAAAATTATGGCCCTTACAAGATAAGACAAAAATCTTTATGAACATTATATTAAGTAATTTAGAGTAATTAAGTCACGATCACTGATCTGATCTTTGTCCAAACTAGTTAATTTCTTTCTGTTCCATGGCTACAAACTACATCCTCTGGTTATTAATGTTAACAGAATAGACAAAAATTTTTAAAAATTGGTTGAAACTTTTACAACAAACTGAAGGCAGAAATTTTGACTATAGCCATCATGTAACTTTATATAGAGAGACTTTATTTTTTAGAGCAGTTCTAGGTTCACAGCAAAACTGAGCAGATATTACAGATGCTTCCCTTATACCCTCTACCCCCCCCCACACACAGGCACAGGTCTCCCCCTCTGTCAATACTCCCAATCAGAGTGGTACATTTGTTACAGGTGAACCTACATTGATACATTATTCTCACCCAAAATTGCATACTTCACATTATGTTTCACTCTTGGTGTTGTCCATTCCATGGGTCTTGACAAATGTATAATGGCATGTATTCATCATTATGGTATCATATAGAGGAGTTTCACTGCCCTAAAAATCTTCTGTTCTGCCTATTCAACCCTCCCTAAAACCATGGCCATCACTGAACTTTTTACTCTCTCCATAGTTTTGTCTTTTCCAGAATTCATATAGTTGGGATCCTACAGTACACAGCCTTTTCAGATTGGCCCCTTTCATTTAGTCGAGGGTATAACGGAAACATCTGTGCCTTCAGCTCACTGTTGCTGTGAACTTAGAACTGCTCTAAAAAATAAAGTCGATAAAATAAAAATGATTCCAAGAGACTTCACATCTCAAAGATTTTGAAACAATATTTAGTAAGGTAAGTTAAATTTAAAAAATAGTTCATTTATTTTCTCTTGTGTTAACTACATTTTCCTTTATCATCTAATAAAAATTATGTTTTATTTTAACTTCCTAACTCATAGTGCCCATAAGAATATCACTAGTACCTTCAGATGCTGAATTTGTAACACAGGTTTGCTCTTACCTTGAATTCCTATTGCTATAGCATGGGCGTTCCACAGCCTAGCCCGCAAACTCACTCATCGTTTTATGGTAAGTGGGAGTAAGTTATCCTGTGGGCATTCTGTGCTCAGTTTTACTCTTCGGGGCATTCTAGCATACTTTTCTTTATTATTATCGAAAAAATTCTGTATCATTTTATTTTTAAGCAAATATCATCCTCTTTTGACATCCCCAAATTCACTGAATGGAAGGAAAAGCTTAAATTCTCAGAGGTTCTTTTTGAAAAGTTAATAAACACATAATTTGAAAAAATATATATATATATAAATTCCCACATATGCAGCTAATTTTACTTCCCATTTTGAAGTCTTTTTAATATACCTGGGGTGCCCAAAAAACGTATACACATGACTTGTATTCATCTTTTGTTATTGGTATATATTGAGTATTACAATTTTAATACAGTTTTTTCCTTTCTTAAAATGTGTGTACAATTTTTTTGGCACCCTCTGTACACCTGCCAGATCCATACCTGTATGGTAATTCAGCAATGTTTTGTGAAAATTCTTGAAAAAGATTGTTTAACTCAAATATTAGGACATAGCTCGGGTTATTTTGGATGAAGGAAGTATGTCCAATATTTGGTCCAAGTAAAAAAGAAATTTCCAATGGGTCTGACACCTCTACCCACATGACACAGAGCAAACGGTGGGTCTCGGCAACCTCAGTCTTGGTGGCTCAGCCTTTAGGATGTGAATTTTGTTTTCTTTCCTGAAGTGACATTGTTTCCAAGTTTTTTCCCTCACTTTCCACTAGCAGAGTCCCTGAAAACAAATTGATTTGGGGTTATATATATATATATATATATATATATATATATATATTATATATATATATATTTTATATATAATTATATATATATATAAAATATTGCTATTTTAGATGTTGTATTATACAAATCAACTTGTTTTAAAGAGGTTTTTAAGCAGCTACTTGGAGGAAGGTACTGTGGGGTGTCAAGACTGCAACCACTCTCCCAATCAGAGCAAGGAAAGGCTTAGCAGGAGGCAGGAGGCAGGGGCAGGGCTGCCGACAGCACCTTCCAGGATATGTTATATATATGTGCATATATATGTTATATATAATATATGTTCCCGTAACTCTATTCCTAAAACTCAGAAACCTTAGAAATGAAGCCCCAGGTGCCAAAATGCCTTGTTCTGCCATAAAGCGACAGGGAACAGATACCAAGATAACTCCTTGAAGAGGGTGGGTCCCACAGAAGGGAGGGACCAGAAAACTTAGTCACCAGATTATATTGTCATGTTTGTTCTGTTTGGTGGAGTGTGTTGGAGTAAAACATTTAGAGAATGTTGTGCAGAGCTCTGAAGCCAGCCTGGCTGGAAAAGCTGAAGCATAGGTATCTGGGAAGAGAGAGGGACTTTGTGAAAAGAGCAAGAGATTTCAAATGGGCTTTAAAGAAGTTCTGCTGTATGTGATGACACGTAACTCTTTCCTACGACTTCCTTTGAAGGTTGCAGGTATAGCTATATGGCCCATTGATGCTTTTGGAGGTAGACTTGTGTTTTTAGGAGACTGGCTTCCATGCGGTTATGATACATGAGAGTGACAGATTTAAACACTGTATCATAGAATGCAAATATGCATTTAAGGATAAAATATAAATCTTCAGGAAAATGTCAAGATTCAGGGAGTACACGTTGGGTCACATATTCTCAAAAGGACACTACTGCCCCCAAAGAGGCATTTTTTAAATGGTCAGGGTGTTTTCTGATGTTACAATTATTAAGGAGTATTACTGCCATTTATTTAAGGGGTAGGAGTCAGAGATGCCGTACATACTATGGCACTTAAGACAGCCCTGCATGAGAAAATGTTGCCCGGTATACTCCATTGCTCGCAAATGTCACATCAGACATTTGTGTAGAGGAGGAATCTGTGTTTTAAAAATGATCTCAGCCTAAAAACTAATGCCATTTTGTATATGACACAAAGTATTTTTTGCATTATTTTAATATGCTCACGGTATTTGAGTCTCTAAGAGTATCAGTCTGCATTTACAGCTCTTAATTCATGGCGATTCTAAATATTACTACTTCATAAGTCTTGAGTTCTGGTGCCCGAACATTTTCATATTGAAATACATAAAATTTTATTATAAATCACTTTTCTTTTATGTCTTCTTTATATGATAGTTAGACATTACATTTATTGCTTTTTTTAATTATCAGATAACAATAAAGGTTTTTGTTATCTACCAATCTCATTTCGGGAGAGGAAAGATGTTGTTGCAAATGATTTCTTATTAAAAGGGAAGTTTAGCTTATCCATCCAACCATCCACTGATAGACATGTGGATGGTTTCCATCCTTTGGCTATTATAAATAATACTGCTATAAATATCTGGATGTAAGTTTCTGTGTAGATATGTTTTCATTTCTCCTGGGTAATATGGCAATTCTACATTTCACTCTTTGAGGAACATTAAACCATGTTCCATAACAACCACACCATTTTACATTCCTACCAGCAATAGACAAGAGTTCCTATTTCTCCACATCCTTATTAATACTTATTATTTTTAAAAAAAATTATTATAGCCATCCTACTGGGTATGTAGTGGTATCTCATTGTGGTTTTATTTGTATTTCCTTCATGACCCATGAAGTTGAACATCTTTTCTTGTGTTTTTTGGCATTTGTATGTCCTCTTTGGAAAAATGTGTATTCAAATTCATTGCCCATTGTTTAATTAAGTTGTTGGCCTTTTTGT